CTGTTCAAACATGTATTTCCATCTATGATAGCAGATGAAGTGGAAAGAAAGGTAAAATAGAATTTTAAAAAGTTCTCCTACTATTTTGCCATAAGGAAGTACCACTTTTCCTCATCTTTTCATTTCCTACCTTCTGTTGACTGAAAAATGAATGTGCATTTTTTCAGCTCAACTGTAAAATATTAAACTGACATTAAACAAAACTATTTGAGAGTAGTGAGATAAAAATCAAAGTTTTTCTTCTTATAAATGTCTTGTGCATCAATAAACAATGTAAAGTTTTAGTAGCATTAAATTAATGTGGTAACAGTGATTTTGCTGTTGTTTGGAAAGTTATTAACAGGAATACAGAGAAGAAATGAGTAGCTGGTGTGAAATTATAAATGAACTACCTTAGTCATGATATAATGTAACTGAAGAACATTTTGTCAATAATTTAATCTATAAAATTTATATAGAAATATCACATTTAGACTAAAATTGCCAGTTAAATTCCTATTAATTAATCTCTTAATATCTTAGTATTTCAGAGGCATAGTATTGTAAATTTAATAATAGCAAAATCAAAACTGCAGTTGCCACTAAAATCTTGTTTAGTTGTGAGAGAAATATTAGAGAAGAATATGTTATTGAAATTAACTATTTCCCCTGAAAATATAGGCTAATAATTTTTTCCTTCCCATTTCCCTTGAGAGACTAAACTTCTGCTTTTTAAATGGTTATAGCTTTCTCACTTCACTTTCTCTTTTTTTATGTCTTGCAAAAATGTTTTATGGCTTTGTTCCCTCTGACAAGCTCCTTTTGACTGCAAGGCTTTTTTCTGAAAAGTCACCCCATTGCCCTCTTTCAAAATAAATTTGATATCATTCACAGAGCTCTAGCTGATCAAATTGGAGAAAAGATTTTTCTTTTCTTCTTATTCATAAAATTCAACAAGCATTTGGTTTGTTCATTCTATTTGATACAAACAGACCTCAGTACTATTGAGACAAAAATGAAAGGAAAATTAAGGCATTGTTAATTCACACAATAACTATTGTGTCTCAAATTTAGAATTAAAATTTAGAAACTTCATTTGAAATATGTATTTTGATTCCTTTTATGCTCATTATTTCAAAAAAGATACTTATTTTGAATATAGTATAAGAGAATAGAGGATGGAAGGAACTGAATTGATTCATTATATTTTGTCTCAAATTTAATTTTTCTCATTTTCATCTGATATTACCCATAATCTTTATATATTCATTTTAGACAATAGATGTTGCTTTATTGAAATTGTCATTTGATTAAAGATAAAAGAATTGTTGGGAAGAAAGCAATATTTCTTCTTGATGGAAATTCCAGATTATCATATACTTTTAGGGAATTAAGATTACACAATGAAGTCAATAAAAAGCTGAATAATAATCAACTTTCTTCTCTCCTTCATAATATAATATTAAAAAATATAGTGAGACTTGATTCAGAGGACATGCCTGCTGGTTTTGCTTTTATTGTTGCTGTGCTTCGTTTTCTGTTATTCACAGAAAGCAGTAAGTTGTGTGGATAAGGTTTTCCTTTTGGAAAGGCCCATTTTCCAATATCAAAGATGCATCATCCCGTACTGAAAGGCAAAGCCAATTGCACCTATTTTCCATAATGCTAAGAGCACATAGCACATTATGCTAGGGTTTATATCCATTCAACAAATATCCGTAAATGGACCAATAAGTCAGGAAGGCTCGCAAGAACTTAGTGTATCTATTTTGTTTTATTTTTTAGAAAGCACAAATTAGAATTAAAACTGAAGATTTTCAGTTTACAAAGTAAGATGAATTTCACAGTATTTGTTGTAATACATAATGTTTTCTTCCAACCAGTTATCCATATTACCGGATATATGCATGGAAAATTAGAAGAAATAAAAAAAAGAAGGAACTGTAGAAGAAATTAAGAAGTCAAAAGGAGAAACAATTGAAAAAAAGGAGACAAAATAAAATAAAGCATTAACTGCTTCTTTCCATAGACCAGCAGAAATGGACAGTACAGTTGTTCAAACAATCCTACTTATATACATAGGTAAATCTCTTTCCCCGACTCCTCCTGTTCGTCTACTCAACTCAGTAACTCTTCCCTTTACAATAAATTCACACCCTTTTGCTACTGTCTATTGTATCCTTCAGGTTCCATTTTTCTTTCAGGTTCTCACACTAAGGAGACAGTACAATGTTTGCATATGTCTAATTTATTTTACACAAGACTATGTTCTCTAGTCACATCCATTTACTGACCAAAAACCTCAAATTTATCCTGTTTTATACCTGAATAATATTACATTATATGAAAATACCACATCTTCTTTATCCATTCATTAGTTGATGGGCATCTTGGTTGTTTCCAGGATTTAGCTATGACAAATTACTCTCCTATAGACATGGGTGCACATATATCCCTATGGTATGAGGTTTTCAGTTCTTCTGGAAAAATGCCTAGGATTAGAAGATGCAGACACAATTAGAAACATACTCAGCCTCCTTATCTTTGATAAAATATCCAAAGAGTCTCACTAGAAGAAAGATATCTTCTTTAATAAATGGTGATAGAAAAACTGGCTTTCCACATGCCAAAGGCTAAAACTAGACACATGCCTATCACCATGCACAAAGATATACTAAAAATGGATCAAATATTTAAATATTAAAACAGAAACACTAAATTTTGTGCAGGAAAATGTAGGTAGAAATCTTAAAGACATAGAGGTAGGCAGAGAGTTCATGAACAAATGCCAAACTACATGGGAAATACTTCAAAGAATCAACAACTGGGAATCTCATCTTTTTGAAAGTTTTCTACACTTCAAAGCAAATGTCCAACAGAGTAAAAAGAAAACCAACAAACTGGGAAAAAATATTGTAGCCAACTGTCCCTCAGACAAAGGCCTTCCATCTAGAGGATATAAAGAACTGAAAAATCAGAGCCCCCAAATTCAGAAATACAATCCAAAAATTGGCATCTGAGATGAATATACGCTTCTCAGAGGAAGAAATACAAATAGTTAGCAAATATAAGATAAAATATTTAACATCATTGATCACCTGAGAAGTGCAAATTAAAACAACACTGAAATTCCATCTCACCCAGGAAGAACCGCTAACATCAAGAAGTCAGCCAGTAACAAATGCTGGAGATGCTTTGCAGAAAAAAGATCTTAGTATGTCTAATATAACATATAATTTAGGAGCACCTTTATCAAATATGTTTTATCTACTGAGTATATAGGTCAGCCCCTAATCTTGTGCAGGTGTGTATTTACGAATTCAGACCAATTCTCATATTAGATTTTATGAAACCATCTGAAGATACATGAAAAAATGCTGTCAATAACTTCTAAAAATGATGAAAATAAAAAATGGAGAAAATTTTTGTCAGACTAAACAAGAATAGAAAAACAAACAATGCAAGGTGGACTCATGTATAAGCCAACAATGACTGCAATCCATATTTTTGCAATCTGTCCTGTAAGTTTTTATGAGTGTGTTTTGCTCTGTCATAGGCCTCTGTTAACACTCCTTTACTGCCATGGAAGCACTTATCTCCTCTTCTAGGTTACTATGACTCTTATATACTATATCAGGGAATATAGAAACAATACAAACAAGCAAGAATAAATAAATAAAACAAACACATAGAAAAACGATGTCCATGCTATTGCAATATAATACTATGATATTTACCAGGTACACACATGCTTATCCTATTAATGAAGATTCAGAAAAAGAAATAGCTGCTAATAACTTCACAAAATTTTGATATGTAGATCATGAGCATATACTAAAATATATTTTCTAGTTTTTTGGATTGCTAGAGATGCTTATATAAAATTTTACAAATATTTCACACTTTTTGACTTGGTTTAAACTTTTTAAAAAAATTAAGAAATATGCAACTTATTCACTCTCAGATTGAGAAGGATAATGTGATACCTTCTATTATAAATACATATCTGCCTTATGTCTTCACTTAGGAAAAATTTTAAATACCACCCACTGCCCAATTTTGTTAAATCAAGTTATGATTTTTAAAGTATCAAAATATTTAATAAATTACTGCCTAATTATTAAAAGCAGAAGCTTTTGAAATGACAGAAAATTAATTGTTTTAGTATCAGTAGTTTTTAGGGATATTCAACATACGATATTATAATATCAAATTTTTTTTGACGGAGCCAGGGATTGAACTCATATAATGTCAATTTTGTTAATACCTTTGAAAGAAATACAAGAAAAAGGAAATATTTCTTCTTTATATTATGGGACAAATCTTAGGATGTCACACAGAATATTTGTTTGCTGCTATCAGAAAATTAGATATAAGTAAAAATGCACTAAGTATTTGTTGAAATAATTTATCAATTCTAAATAAACCTCTGCTTAGCACATTATGGGTAATGCCAGTGGCAGGAAACTGTCTAATTTCAGGTGTTGTAAGCCTTGATTTACTCCTTAACAATTAGTAAGAGGCAGTTTTGTACTTAATGGCTAAAAAGTCAAGTCAGGAAATGAGAACACATATAGGAAAAGCACGGGCATGACTTTTAAAACTGATTTAACTAAGTGCAGATGAAAGGATAAGAGCCACACATGGAAGGGGCTTTTATGCCACCAAAGTATGGTCAACTCTTTCCCGAGCCATAATGAATAGATAAAAGTAGAACATCAGCCTGAGCAAATTTACATTTGAGAAAGATGAATGTGACACCAAAGAAAGGCACATTTTTTGAAGAGAAAAAATACTCATAAAAGAAAGGCTCTCTCAGACGAATTAAAAACCAAAAGAGACGTTGAGGCAATGGTCAGTTAGTGGCTTAACTAAGGACCTTCAGTGTCCCAACAAAAGAATGAATTTTAAGATAATTACGAGGTAGAATTAAGTTAAATTGTTGCAAAACTATAAGCTGGAAATTGAGGGAGGGTAGAGAGTAAAAGCATCATATTCTGGACAATGAGAATTACATTGGGAGCTTTGCGCAATGGCAGCGTCGTCGCCGATGAGGTTTATCTGAGGCGCGATTATTGCGAATCGAGAATTATATGGGGTTTCATGCCACGCACCATGATAGATAATTTAGGAGAAATTTTTGATGCTCATATTAAGAAAGTTCAATTGTAAGGGGAAAATTGAAGTACTTGAGGTTTATTTCGATCATAATACGATGCATAAAGTTCAGAAACTCAAAAGACAATTTTAAGTTGCAGTGGAGAATCATTTATTTATTTATTTAACCATCGTTGAGTTCCTATCATCTTATGCAGTGGAAATCTATATCGTTTCTAATTTTTAAAATCATTTTGTGTTCTCTTTATAAAATAAAAATAGTGTCCACCTATTTTTTTAAGAAAGGCAATAAATAGGGCATTGAATCAAGAGCGGAAGAGTGCAGTTCTTTCAGACTGAACTTCGCAGATTTAAGCAGGACTTGCTCATCATTGTGGTCAGCAACGTGCTTAGCTGAATGCGGATGTTTGCGGGCTTCAATGCGACACCATAAACTGCATTTCTTAGCGTCTCTGTCTTTGACGACAGCTGTGTTGACTCCTACGGTGGAGCTGAGTCACTGGTTCTGAAAAACGGAAAAATGATTCCGTTTGTTTAGTGGTAGCCACATCCAATGTAGATTGAAAAAATACATTAGGATGATGACAGAGGTGGATATGAACACTGGACAGGCTGAAATAACAACGAGTAACTATGCATTAATTTATGTATTATTTTTACTGAATTAGTTTGAGTGTAAAATAGCAGTAATACAATGCAACCATTGTGGGCTTTTTTAGTTAAATAGGCACATATTCTTTGTTGTAGCATACTTTCTTCATAAATGCTATTTTATAAATGTGGGTTTCCCCCCCCCGTAAGAATCCAACATGACTAGAAATGATTTGATAACATGATAGTAGCATGTCCCTTTTGCTGACAGTACACTACAAATTGTCTTTAAAATTCTTATCAAAAAATTAATATAAAATAAAATTCCTATCCAAAAATTCTAAAGACAGGTTAGAAATTTCTTTACCATGGTGTTCCACTCAATGGTAAGTTTTTGCCCATAACAGACAATTACATTTACCTTTATAGTATTATTTAGTTTGACATGTTTAAAATAACATCTTTCTTTATAGTGCCAATAAAAGTAAAATCAATTTGTATAGTGTTATAAAAATAAAATTTTGTAATCTTAAAAAGAAATTAGATTAAAATATCCAGTTAATTTTTTAATGTACTTCATTCTTCTGAAATGAAGGTAGGAGTTTTGATAATAGACTACAGTGAGATCACATTTTAATAATTTATTGATTGCAATTCAGTAAAACAAAATTGAAATGAATTGTGTCATCCTAACACATGAGAAAACATTAAATATTTATGATTCTGTGTCTAACAAGCTAAATCTGAATATGTGGTCAATTGAAACAAAGTCACCCTGGTCATAATATACTCAGCTCTCATTTCAGGGAAGCTTGTATTAAAAAAAAAACTGTACAGAAAATGTTTGTTTTAGAAGGGAAAATAATCTGCACTGAAGCTAGCAATCAAGCTAAAACATTTATGCCAAAACAAATGTTAATGATCAATTTGCTGAATCCAAATATAACCAAAATCACCAACCACAAAGACCAATCATTCTATTTCCATACATGCATTACCTATGTTCCATACTTTGGATACATAGCCTGAACACATGCTTTAACAATTTGTCAGAAAGCTATGATATTAAGTGTATCTTTCAATCTACAAAGCATTGAGGTCTATTTTTCTTTTTAGGAAAACATACATACATTTTCTTTTTCCATGTATGTGTTTGTTACAGGGTCTCACTCTGCAGCTCGGACTCATAGGGATCCTCGTGTTTTCAGCCTCCCCAGCCCAAGGGATGCCAGGTCTCTGTGGGCCAGGTCAGCACAACAGTGGGCAGGGCAGGCACTGCAGGTGGGGCTGGGGACTGAATCCTGTGCTTCTGTAAGCAGGTGCTTAGTTCACTGAGCTATCTCACTGGCCCTAAGTGTTATTTCTCCTTATATGACAATATTGGTAGGAATGGTAAGCCAGACACAGATGACAAAATCATATGAAATTAGTCATACAGAACATTGAAAATTTGATCCCATAGAAATTGTGCAGAAGTGTATTAACTAGAGTCTTAAAAATAAAAAGCAACGAGAAACACAGAAATATTTATTAACAGGTTAATTCCTAAACAATAGTTAAGCACAAAAAGCTCTGCTTGCTGTTTTATTTTAAGGTGACTGCAGGTAATAATTAAAAAATAAGTATACTACAGAATTTGGATGGAATGTGTTATAAATTCTGTTAGATTTATTTGATACACAGTGTCCCTTACATGTGATATTCCTTAGCTAATTTTTTGGAGTCTAGAAGAACCATTTAATGGTACATTGATTCATGAAATTTATTTGTTCCACAATTCTGGTAAAGGTAACTGTGGTCATGTATGGCTCCTGATGCAGAGTTCATGAATAGAAACAAAATTTTGGAGACTATTCCTACTGTTGAACTGAATATTTCATCAACAGAGCATTCATGAAATGAGGTATTTGTGAAAGTAGGCTACTTAAGACACCTTGAAATATTGTATTAGTGTTTCTCTGCCACATAATCTTTTCTTTTATGTATATAGGACAGGGTGTACAGGTGTATGAGGTCTCACTGCGTAGATCAGACTCGTAGTGATCCTCCTGTTTACAGCCTCTCAAGTGCGGGGATTATAGTTGCACGCCACCATGCCCAGTCTCAATCAGTGTCTCACCCCAGGGGCAGGGCCAGCATGGCAGGCCAGGGGATTGAACTGCCACTTCATCTTAAAATTTGTGAAATTGGGTGTGCTAGATAGAGTGCATATGCTTTCATGATGTTTCCCTTAGTTCCAGAACAATAACAAATAAAGGTAATCTCTAGTACTCTTGTGTATCACCTCGCATTAGGGAATTTCAATATTTTACTATTTAAATTTTGATATTGATTGTAGATATTTTTCCAAACATACTTTTGACTGGTGTGAATGAGTAGGGAGCTGGGAGGGGAATGTTCTTACAATTTCAGTTTTTAAAGGATTTCCCTGATGACTTGAGATTATTCTTTCTCCAAACATACTTTCTTTCAAAATATGAATGTGGGGGCCGGGGAGATGGCTCAGTGGAATAAGCGCTTCCCTAGCAAGCACAAGGGCCTGAGTTCAATCCCTTGTTCTGCCAAAAAAAAGAACAAAATATGAATGTGATATAATTTTTAACTATCAATATGATCTGCTATAAAACTACTGATTCATCTCTCTTTTTCAGTTAAATTCCACATTAAAAATATATAAAAACATTGGATGACCCTCAGTCCTTATATCAACAAATATTCAGAAAAAGTGAATAAACCCAAAGAATATTAATAAATGCATTTGTCTATTCCCTAAAAAGAAAGAAGGGCACTTTCATCAATATGTTATGCCCTCTTTTGCTTCAAGTATACTTATATATTGTTATGTATTATTGTATATATTACATTTTGTCATATATTACTATATATGAATACATTTTGTTGTAGCTGAGTATGATAATTCCAACTTTCTTCAAATTGTGCTTGCTGTGAATATTATTTGCCCTCTTTCCACTTTCAGTCTGTGTCCACCTGCACTAGTGTGATGTATTTTGTTCAGACATCGAAGTGCTTTGCTCTGTCACTCAATCTTTTCACTGACAAATTAAAGGCATTTGTATTTAATATTAGTGTTAAAGCTATGTGCAAGTTTCATGTATTTTGCTGTCATTTTAATGCATTGATTCTTTGCTAACTCTCATTTGTTTAATTCTCATTTGCTTTCTCTTCTATGTAGAAAATTTCTTTCGTTGTCTTCTGCCATGCTGGCATGATGGGCAAGAATTATTTTAGTTTATATTGATGTTGGAAGTTTTTTATTTGTGTTTTGAATATGAAAAAAGGCTATGCTGTATTTAGCAAATGAAGTTGGTAGTTTTCTTTCATGTCGTGAACTGCATCACTCCATGCCTTCTCAGCTTTTTATCTGCTGAGAAGTTCACTGTCATTGTGATGGTTTTTCTAGTGCAAGTGACCTGCTACTTCCCTCTTGCAGTGCAGTTTTCAATATTTTCACATATTTTTAATCCTATTTTTTTTTAAAAACTGTGCATTATTTTACACACTTTTTTAACTTTTGTTCCCATCTTTGAAAATGTTTTTTTTCTTTTAAAAACTTACTTCTATCATTTTTGCTTGTTTTGTGAGGTTTTATTGTTATATTACTTTCTTGTAGACTTTATCTTTGCCCCGCTCTGTTCTATTTTTAATGGTCTAATGCTTGTGTTGTTTTGCTTGTTATTGTCCTGTTTCTATTCCTCACTTGTCTTTTTTTTCTGTATTTTAAGGAAGGGTCCAGAGGCTGTTCAGGGTCTCACTACTAGATGGGACCCCTAGTGATCCACCTGTTTACAGCCTCCCAAGAGCTGGGATTACAGGAGTGAGCCACCACACCGTCTCAATTGCCATCTCAGCATGCCCCGGGGGCGGGGCCGGAGCGGCAGGCCTGGGGATCGAACCCCCAGCCCCTGCGCCTTCCTGACTCATCTTTACACAAGAGCTGCTATGGTGCAGTGTCTTTTGAGGAGTGCTGTAGACCAAGCCTGGCACAGGGCACACTCTGAATGGACTCTGGGACTGAACCGATAGTGTTCCCTGCTGACAGAAATCTCGCCTTGCTTCCATCCCAATAAAGTCCAGCTCAATCAGCATAAATAAAAGGGCAGACAGAACTGTCAGCCTCCCATTGCAAAGGATGCTGTTGCCGAGCACGTGGTTCTCACTCCTAGTTACTGAGGGCAGGGCCCCCATCCTTTGGACTCTCCACTCTTGTCTCCAACAGAGTTCATGCATCCTGAAGCTCAAATCTCTCTAAATACCCATGTCTCCCTTCAGCCCAGACAATGTGGTACAGTCTTCTTCTACCCCATCTACACAGCGAGCTGTTCACAGAGACCCTTCGTCATGATTGCTGCAAGATTTCCTCTAGCCAGACAGAGTTCACGCCTATAGGACTACAGGCATATTAAGAAAAAGAGATGCCAAACAAACAGA